CCCCCCCCCCCCCCCCCCGCAAGGGGTGTGCCGGAGGCGGGGGCGCTTAGGGGAGGAGGGGGCAGGGAAACGGAAATCCTTCCTCTCCTGAAGATGGCACCACTTCCCCCTGGTCTTCGGAATTTCAAGGAGCTGAGCAGAGATCCACACCCGGAGCTGGACGCAGAACCGCAGGTGGGGCAGGACGCGGCGGGGCATGTTCTGGCTCACCTGCACGCCCGACTCACCCCGAGGGTTTGCAGGGCGGCCTCCCTCCTGCTCTCCCAGGGAGAGCGTGCTGGGTTGAGAATTAGGGCGCAGCCGCTCAAGTCTGAGATAGAGCGGCTGAGTGTGAGGCCTGGGCAAGGCCGGCACCTTCCTCTCCTTCAGTGGCTGCTCCTTGGCTGCTCCTCGTCCTGTGGCTGGCGTGGAGACACAGGGACACCGTGAGGGCCACGCACGGGGAAGTGAAGGGACTTGCACAGGTCTCCCAGGGGCGAACCTGGGCGTGAGCTCTGTGTCCCCGTCTTCTAAGAAAGCAGCACCCTAGCTTCTGTAAAGTGCTTGGAGGAGCCCTGGCCGAGCATGCCGGGTGAGAGAGTCATTGTTCTATGGCTACAGGGTGTCTCTTTGCGGCTCTGTTGGTTTTCTCTCTTGTTTTCTGCGTTTTGAAGATGCCTTGCCCAGTGGCACAGACAGAAGCCCACGCCACAAGAGCACTGACTAGTGATTGGCTAATTGGTTGGTTGAACATGACCCTGGGTGGGGCTTGGCTTTCAGAAGAGCTTCCTGTTCCCCTGACCATTGGACCTGGACTGGCACCTTCCCTCCACCAAGAGCTGCACCTGGGGAAAGGAACCCCCCACCGTGTCTCCTCAGCACCTCAAAGTCGACTGTGTCTCCCAGGACCCACCCCTGGGGAACAGGGCCCTGGGGAAGGGCGCTCAGTGTCCTAGGGTAGCTGGGGGCACAGCTCTGCATCAGGGCACCTAGAAGGTTGTGCGTGTGAAGAAAGGGTTGGGTTGAGTGTGTTAGTGAGGAGCATGCGGGGTGAGTGGGGGTCTCTTTCTTCTTCCTTCGTCCTTGCTGCTCGAAGGAGGGACAGGGACAACCATCATTGAAGGTGATGTAAGCAGAAGAGAGAGTTTGTGACTCAGAAGTAACTGTCAGTGTAATGCGGGCCGTGTCCCTTTGACGCTGAATTCTATGAGTCTCTGATTCCCCACGACACCTTTAGAGAAAAACAGGACAAGAAGGGACTTCGTGGTGGGTCGCGGGAGGGGAGAGAAAGTCGCCTGAGAGAAGCAGGGGGAGGCGAGTGTGAGTGAGGGGCGCCTTGTAGCCTCTGAAAATGAAAGCACAGGAAGGAAAAAGTAGCGAAGACCTTTCACAAGATGAAGGAGCCGTGTGAGAGGCGCAGAGGGAGGGGAGGGAGCAAGAGGTTAAGTGGGACAGGCCAGGAAGACGCTGGAGTCGGCAGGCTCGGCTCGGGAGGAGGGCGGAGGCAGGTGGGAGGAGGAATTGGAGCAGAGAGATGAATGCCAGCAGGTAGGGGCAAAGGCACCACAGGAATGAAGACAGAGCAGAGGCAAAGGGGACTCAGTAACCTTTTGGTGCGAGGCAATGTGAACACCTTATGGAAAATAAAAGCCAGAATTAATGTCTGTACAGTATTTACAACCCACATGCTTTAAACAGCCCACTAACGGGATCTGTCTGTCTGATTATGTGAGGGTCAGCCCCAGTGAGGACAGAGTGAGAGGATTTGGTTCTGGCCTGGATTTCGTGCCTTGAAACACTTTTCAAGAAAGTGATAATAAGACGAGGGCCCTTGTTTTGCGGGGCTGTGCCTAGTGTGAGAGAGAGAGAGAGAGAGAACGAGACACACACACACACACACACACACACACACACACACACACACGGCGCAGGAGTCCTTAGCCCGCAGAGGCTGACCGCACAGTGTGGGCAGAGCTTTCAGAACCCCTGGGACCGGACCTTCTCTTCCACCAGAGGCCACTGTGGGAGTCATTTTAACTGAGGTGCCAAAATAGCCTGCTCATTACATGGCTCAGTTCAGAAGGAAGGGGCCACCCTGGCCACCCAGAGAACAAGGGCCTTAGGGACCAAGCTAAGGGGACAAGGCCCACAGCATCCATGCTGGGGAGGGAGGCTGACCCTCCTGGGCCCTGGTGCCGGCTGGGAGAGCGCCTGCGAGTGCGTCCACCCGAGAGCAGCTCAGCCCCAGGGCTCGTCCACCAGTATCTCTCGGGCCACAGAACCAGGAAACGGCACACTGGCTCTGAGTCCGGCTGCAATGCCCTGTGGGACTTGGGAGCAGGGAACTTCCAGCGAAAATCCAGTTCCTGTCGGACCAGTTGGGTTTCACCAACGGCATATCGCGTCCCGCGTGCCGAGGCTCGCTGCGTTTAAATGCCTGGCCCCTGCCCCTGCCCACCCACGTTTAGACGGCCGTGGGGTGATCTAAGGCTGGTGCTTCTCCAAATAAACGTGCCTGTGAGTTGCCTGGGGAGTGTGTTAAAATGCAGGTCCTGACTCAATCCTGCCTTTCGACCAGTCTCAGAAGTTCCATTGCTGGGCCACGGACCACACTTTGCGCACAAGGGCAGGGAACTTGGCAGTGAGCTAAACAGCTGCTTGGATCCCTTTTCCAGGGACATTGGGACATCTTTCTTTGTTGCTAACAACTAAGTCGCTTGGGCTGTGGGACAGAGAGACATGATTCAGAACTGTCATTGTGACGTCATATTTGGCTGCCCAGGTGATGTATTATTATTATAGCATCTTTATCTCCATCAAGAGTCAGGAAATTTTAGGGGGAGGGGCATTCAGGTGAAGTACAAACTGGGATTTCCGAATAGTCATTATTTTAAACATGAGCAGAGGTTACCGAACACGTTGTGAAAGCCTTCTCAGGAAATCTTCAAACAAAATGGATTCCCACCGTCAGGTGTGGGCCCGCTGGGAGGCAGGGAGTGGCCGTGTGACAGCCTTAGATCTGAGCCAGCCCAAAGCAAACCAGGCCGCGTAGGAGGCCGATGGGCACGGCCAGAACATCTGTCATTTGTCCGTCTGAAGTCGACAGTTCGGCCTAGCTACAGCAAGGCAAGGGCAAGCGAAAAACATCGTGTCAATTCTTTTTTTTAATACTGCTCAAGTTCCTTCACTTCTCTCCATGACCACAGCCATGCCAGCAACATCTCTCTCTTAGGCAACAGAACCAACCTCACCTTTCTCCCTGCTGCCCTCTCGCTCCTATTCCCTTCTCTACACAGACGACAGAGCAGTCTGTAAACCAGGAATCTGATAGCATCACTCCCGTGCCCCTCGCACTTGGGTTAAAATGCAGAGTCCTAGTGTGGCCCTGTGAGGTCTGGCCCCTGCCTCCCTCCCCAGTCCCCATCGGTGCCTCTCCCCTCCTTGCCTTCATGCTCCTGCCCCCCTGCCCTTCACTCAGCCTCCAGATGGCCAAGGAGTTGTCCCCACGTCCTTTGCACCCACTGTTCCCTCTACCTGGAATGCATCCCCTGTTCTTCGCCTGGCTAATTGCTATGCATCTTCAGGTCTTGGTTTAAGTGTCACTTTCGCAAATTGTTATTTTCTGGCCCCTAATCTAAAACCATCCTTCCCACTACCAGGGGTGGGGAACCTTTTTTCTGCCCAGGGCCATTGGATATATACAACATCTTTCGCGGCCGTACAAAATCATCAACTTAAAAATTAGCCTGCTATATTTGGTCAAACATTTAATTAACTCACCCCTAGTGCCATGGCAGGGCCAGACCAAATGATTTTTTGGGCCTTATAGGGCCGGTGGGCGGGGAACGTCCGCCTGCATTAGACCGCCTTGTGATGGCCGGTGCTTTGCCTGAGTAGCACTAGATGACGGCACTAGACTGACTTGTGTGGCTGTTAGACTGTAAGCTCCCTGGGGGCAGGAGTCATCTCTGTTTTGTAAACTGTTGTCTGCCCAGCATCTAGCACTGTGCATGGCATACAGAGGCTCAATAAATATTTGTTTAATGAATGAGGTGGACAGTGGCTGTCAAGACCCAATCTACAGGGAATAGTAAAAAATTCGTATCTTACATGACCAGACCATTCCATAACATTTCTCGAGATAGTTAAGGAACAAGATGGCAGTGTGAGGGAGCACGGCTCCCCAGCTTTTACCCTCTAAGTCAAAATGCCTATGTAGATGGACACACACACACACACACACCCACCCTTCCATCCACCTTCCTCTGTGGATTTCCACATGCAGGTGAAGCCAGCACGTCAGTGGGGTCAGGTTCCGTGCTATTCACAGAAAGCAGACCGAACATAATGAGGCCCTGTGTCTGCCATGGGGACAGAGGCCCCAGCCAGCCTGATCCGTGTCATAAATCCCAGCAACTCACTGAGCCTCTGCAGCGCAGGTTCTTCCAGGTATGGCTCTACCCAGGGTCATTTGTGAGCACATTCTGATGTGGGCAATTCCGTCTCAACAGGTCGGAACTCCCCAGGGTGCGCAGCGGGGGGCGCCTCCCTCCCCCTGCTCCGTCTGACCTGGTTATGGGAAGTTGCTAGGTAACCGCTAGTCAGCCTTTGCTTCCCACGCTGAAGGAGGGTTGGTTACCATGGCAAGTCCAGATGAGATGGGGCGTGCAGGGGAATGGGAGTGTGGCCAGGACTTCCGCAGCCTGGATTCTGCCCTCACTCCCTCTGGGTCACTGGGCCTGAGGGACGTCTCATCATCCCTCGGGGGCTGAGTTTCCTTACCAGTAAAATAAAGGAGAGGCTGGCTCTCTCCTGGCTCTACATCGCTGATGTGTGCAGCCAGCATAAACTGAACAAACATTTGAGTCCCATGCACCCCAGTGGAGAAGGCACCAGCTTTGAGTCAGACAGACCTGGGTCCCCGTCCAGACTCTGCCACTGACTGTGTGAGCCTGGGCAAGTCACTTGACCTCTCGGAGGTCATC